CGTTACAGTATGCTCCTATTCTTTTTATGCTCAGCTACTAAGATTTCCCTTCAGTGGTAAAATTCCATATAAATATTAAATACTACAACGGGCACAGTAAAGACGTTCACTGTAAATCTTTCTACGACAGATCAACGGACCACGAGTGCCCCTGTCGGTCAACCAATCACCTACCGCGGTACCGCGCGTCATCGTGCGTCACAATGCGCGACGCCGTAGCCAATTACCTCCGGTATGTGTCTGTACTGCGCACTTTGAATGGCTGCATCTGTATGTTCTAGTTTGTGGGAGACTGCCTTGATTGACTGCAAATGGTCAGTATACCATGGGGTAGAGTATAGGAGGTGGTTCAGGTTTTAAGAAGAGCTAAGGTATCAAGAGTAATTCAAAGAGAGCTATTAAACACTTGTAACTTTCTCATTGCATTTTCATTCTCTCTCTCTCTCCACCAGTTCAATCCCATCAAACCTCTCAGTGCTGACTCTCCAGATTACAACAAGAGTCCCACTGTGAATGATGTGGCCCACTGTCTTGTTTATGTTGTGGCAGCAGATCAACTCAGCATTATGGATAATCATGTTCTGAAGATTATAACAGACATCAGATCAAAAGTCAGTGATATTGGTAAGAAAATTCTCATGTAAGGGGCAACAACATTAAATGTTTAAAAATATCTCTTTAATATTAATAAAGAGAAGTTATGTTTCAAATTGATATCACTCAGCACAGTTGTAATATAGTGGTAGGAGCACTCAGGGGCATCACAAAGTACTGTACACTTGTTATTCTGTTCTGATGTTTCAAAAATTTTATTTTATTTTGATTTGATTGAATTTGCATACCAAATGTTTCATTGTTGCACATTTGCTAATGATTAATATGTATTTATAAATATTTGAACTTTATGCCACCGAGTACATGATAGACCCCACACAACTTGGTGAGCTTGTTCTTGACCTGTCTTTACATGGTCTTTTCTCCACTCACTACCCTGTTTCTATTTTCTTTCATAGATTCTGCACACTAACATTTCTCTTAGTGTACTTCGCTTTCCCTGCACTGCAGACACACCCGACATCACTCAGAACCAGACAGGCACTCTTTTAAAACACAGTCAGTGTTCTTCTAGCCACACTCCTTGCAAAATTCACACCTCTCCTGTCTTCCATCCAGGCAGAAGGCCTCCCACTGAATTCCCTGCTCTCCAATCAACCGATTGTCACACATATCAGTGGCCCTTCCAGCCCACCTCCCATCAGCTCTTTATTCATCTTTCACTTTTGTGTTTATTCATTTATCCATACATAACTCACAAGTTCTCTCTCCCTCTTATTTTCTAATCACAATCCGATGAAAGACAGAAAAGATCACTTGCAGTTTGACAGAATACCAGGGAATGTACAGTACTCAGCACTCTCAGCTCCACTCTTAGACAGAAGTTGAACTCCTCAATGTGGTCTGTCATATGCTCTTCTCTTGGCTCCTACTGTATATTAATATATACATACACATTCCTCTGTAGCTATTGGCCACTTGGCCACCCTATATAATGCTAGTTTTTTGTATGCATTCTTTATATTTCTAATTCATGAGAACACAGAATACACATTTACAGCAGGTTTGGGAGACTTCTCACCTGGCATGCACTGCACTTGAGAAGAGTTTCTTCTTCATTCCCCTTGTTATGGAGCACAGACGTCTCTTCAGAGAAGCCAGACAGGCCATATACTGTATATAGGACAACCACAGCTGTAGCTCATTAAACCCTCAATTCAGTTATGGCTTCCTGGACAACCTAAGATAAGATAAGGTCAGGTCACCTTATTAACCATATACAATTTCATGCATTAGGGATTTGTCTTTTCACATACCCTAGCCTGCTCTACATGAGACACACAGACAGATTGTTGGGGTCAGAGCGCATGGTCAGCCATTGTACAGTGCCCCCAGAGCAGTTGGGGGTAAAGGGCCTTGCGCAGGGGCCCAACAGAGTAGGATTCCTCTGCCAGCTGTAGGATTTGAACTGGCAGCCTTCCAGCCATAGGTGCAGATCCTTAGCCACAGAGCCACCGTTCTGCCCTGTGAGCCCCTATTGTAATAAAAACACTCAAAAGAAACAATGAACAGACACTCTTTGAAGTAATTATGAGTAATATTCAAATTCTGAAAGTATGTTTTATGTATTTCCAATTGTCTTACTGGAATTGACGTGTATTACTGCTCAACAGTGACTACTGCTAGAAGCTCACAGCAGCATTGAGAAGGGACAACTTCACAATTAGATTTGCATCAACTCTCTTACATACCCAATTAAAGGACACACAATGTACAGTATAGCTTTGACAGTCAGGTGTGAGAGTAGTGCCTGATCACTATTTTTCCTGGTACAGAGAATATACTGTACATGTAAACTGATTTGATAAACAACAGACAACTTAAACCTACTGGGTAAAAAACTAGGTACAGATGCAGCAATTCAAAGCGCGCGGCACAAACACGTACTGCAGGCATTTTGGCTACATCATCGCGCATCGTACCGCAGTACGTGATTGGTTGACCTACAGGGGCACTCGTGGTGCGTTGGTCTGTCGTAGAAAGATTTAAATGTCTTTA